GCCGGGAACAGGTCGAACTGGTCGAAACAGGGCCTTTCTGAGTGGAGTTTGTTTATAATATCTCATAGTAGACAAACAAAACGGGCAGCACGGTGGCGCAGTGGTTAGCACTTGTGCCTCTGTGACACACACAAAATGTGCAGTCACATTTTATGGTGTTTTAGTTCTATATGTTCTTTATGTGAACTTAAAAGTAGCTTCTCTATTGGAAAAATTCTGTAGTAATGTGTGTTTGTTAATTTAGATGTGATTTTCACATTTGTGGGTGCGCCACAGGGGGCAGTGTCGTGAGCAGTAGCGGGACTTTCCACCAGGGCCCATCTTGAAGCGAGGCTGCACTGAACCGACGCTCACGCTGTCGTCTCTTTTATTTGTCCTGTTTATTCAGGTAATATAATGTAAAACACATTGAAAAGTACATACAAGATGACTGTATATTGTTTTGGTTGTAGATTGCCATTTTTCTGTGTGTGTTAAGAGGTTTACGTTAGACCACTGTTTTAGAGATTAGCTGTTCACTCCGAGGGAACAGAGGTTTTGTAATGGCGGCGCACCCTTGTAACATGGACTCATGCGTAATGAGCATTTAGTAACTTTGAGACTTTGTTTATGCTCAGGAACCGTTTTGCTAGTTTGTTTTGCGTGAGTAAAGTTTATTAAGAAAATGTGAAATATGTTTCAGAGCAGACCAGACTTAAAACCATATATTAGATCCGTTTAGCTAGTTTTCAAGAATCCTAATGGACTTGGTCATTGTATAAATGTATGCAGAAGTACATATTTTAGTTAATACGCAATATTGGTATGTAGTTAAATGTGTGTAAGATAAGTGACCACATTGTAAGAGACCAGATATTGAAGTACAGTAACATGATTTTTGAACTAGAATAAATTAGATTAGAGACATGATTGATAGATAGTACACAAATAGAACATGTCAATTGTAATTGAATATTTTGTTATTAAATAACATGAAGCGAGGCTGCTCTGAACTGACGCTCACGCTGTCGTCTCTTTTATTTGTCCTGTGTATTCAGAATATTCAGGAATATTCTTCTGTGCGGGTCTGCCCCCTAGACAGGACCCGTAACACCTCCAAGCCTCCTTCTGTGTGGAGTTTGCATGTTCTCCCCATGTCTGCATAGGTTTTCTCTGGGTACTCCTGTACAATAGGTCTGGCATGCACCTCCTGTTCGGCGGCCCCACTCCCATCTCTGTGTGGAGTGAGAGACAAATGCCCACAATTGTAAAGCGCTTTGTGACTCTGGTCTCTGAAAGGCGGTATAAGAATAAAGATGACTCACTTACTTACTTGGTAGCATAAGGAGTCTCAGGCAGATAGCTTTGTGATGATGAATTTATTAATTTATTGTTAACCTTTGTGCTTGTTTCACCATGTATAATAATAAGAAATTGTTTCACATTCTACAACATGAAATGTAAATAGTCTCATTATTATTTTCAAATGGGCAAATATGTAATGCCTAATATTTGTTATTTATCTACAGAATAACAAGGTATAGTGTTTAAACTTCTATACAGTTTCCTCTAATAAAAAATCAACAGCTTTTGTTGTTACTCGTGAAGTTATCTCTGCCCTGCCAACATGAGCCCAGAGACTCTTGTAGCATCCAAGACTACAAATAACTGTTTCACCATGCGGATTTACCAGTATAATGCCGCGTTCAGACTGGATCATGCGTTGCGTCGGCTTTCAATGCAAAGTCAATGGTGACGCGCGGTCGAGCGTCAAAACGCAACCAATCAGAGAGCCGCAAAGTGGTCACGGGGACCAGACTGAAAACACTCGTAAACAGCCAAAACAGGAGCTACATCAGGACTAAACCAGGGTTGACGATGGGGGACATAGTGCTTGTTAACATGTGAGTTTTCATGCTCCCGTGACTTCATGCAACTGCTTCGAGTGTGTTCGCCAATGCAGAAGTACCGTTTAATAATAAAATAAACTTATTGCTCACCTCCGTGAACACATACTACTGTTATATAAAGTCTCTGGAAGGTCTCTGAACACAGACACGCTGCAAAGCTGAATATTGGAGAAGAACTTTACACAAGAAGTCGCTAGCTAAACTCTGTTAGCATCAAAGCCCGCCGGCTACTTCCGCCACTTCCAGCGCGCGCCAGGACCTCTGGTCTGAAGACCCCTGCGTCTGAAAACTAGAGAATGTGCGTCTGGTGAATGAGGCTTCAGCGTTCCAGCGTTGGGGGTCTGAAAGCAGCTTAAAACCTTATACATATGAGTTATTTTCAAACATTTCAAACTATAAGAATGTTTTACATGTCCTTTCCAGGGCCAACTTTTACTGTTTCAGAAATTATGGTTCTTAAGGTGACCCCATAAGGAAAGACTCTAGTCATGCATTCGTCATCTAAATATGGTCATGTCTTTACAGATTAAAATTAATTCAATAATAAAACTGACATAATAAGTAACTGCAGTCTCATGTTTCACATTAAGAAGCTCTTTTATGACATAATTTCCCACATGAATAGATAACACGAAGAGATTGATGTACCTTATAAAGTTGATGTGCTTTCATTAAGTATCCAGCTGAGAAGGCTGCAGGGCACAGGTGCCTAAGTAGATTTTGTGGTCCTCAGGGGAGATCCATATGAAGCCAGTCAAATGTGAGCATGCATGTATATAAAGCCCTTATCATACCTTCACCTTGACATCCGCTTATACCAGATTGATTCACAACTCAAGTCGCCACTGGTGGTTGAACAGCGCGGGTCCCCAGCGATCCAGCCCACAGAGGCACCCCCCGCTCCTGCTAAATATTCATACGCTTTGAAACGGTCCACTGCTGCTCCCTGCTATACTACTGCTGTGCCCAACCAACTTTGCCTGTATACCACTCTCACCTCACATCCCCGGGACTCCTTCTCTATAGTAATACGCTTTGTGACTCAAAAGTACATTTTGCATCAGCTAACAGGATAGATGCCCATCCTCCGTCAAAGCGACAGAAGGCTAATAGCTTTGGCTTAAATCCAGTGGTTGAGAGGGATGGGCAACATAAAAGAGGACTGGGGGAGAAAGCTGTACGGACGAGCTGACTGATTTTGTTGCAAACTCAGGGAATTGGCAAACACAAACACTAACCACATGTGACAGTTTGAAAAACAATCATATAATTAAATGCTGCCTCGGAGTTAATCGTAAATGCCGCTCCGGCTCGGTGCGTCGACCTGCTGATGAGAGCCTGATATAGGGAAACTGAGGCTTTGTTTGGGCAATTTATTCTCACCACATTGAGCCATTAGCCGGTCCACTCACACATGAATGTCTAAAAGCATTCGGCTTAGGAGAATGGTCACTTAACTATTTCTTATTGCCAACCAAGCAGAGGCTGAAAAGAAAAACTCAAGTTTAAAATGGAAAAATACAGAAAAGACTGGAAAGGTTAAACTGTGAATGAATTCTGACATTTTAAAATCACTTTTCCATCATACTTACAAAAACAGGAGCATTGGACAAAATAAAAGTACACAGCAAGTGCTCTGTAAGCCTTGAATGAAAATCCAATCGTATTAAAGCTGAATAGGACAGTGACTTTTCTGTCGCAATTTTCTCCGGCCAAAATGTGCAAAAAGTGTGTTTTGACAAAGGAATAGCTGAAGGACTAAAGTGTGGTTGAAAACACAAAAAATTGAGGCTTCTGCTCGTTCTTTATTTCTGTGGCGTTAACTATTGCTCATATTATGCTCTCAAGTCGACTTTTTGTATAGTACTTTTTATATCTTGTGTCGTGTCTGTCAATCAGAGCAGATCTCTCCTCAATGTTTTTTTCTATTATTCTGCCAAAGATGGAGGGTCTAAGGACGGGGGACATCTATTTGTTTAATTCCTGTGAACGTTGTCTTTTGTGACTGATGAACTTTCTTTAGGCACGGTGGCTGAGTGGACAGCACTCTCGCCTCTCAGCAATTCGAATCCCGGTCGGGACAGGGCCTTTTTGAGTGGAGTTTGCATGTTCTCCCCTTGTCTGCAAAGGTTTCCTCCGGGTGCTCCGGTTTCCCTTACCACTAAAAACATGCACAATAGGTCTGAATGTAAATGAGAGAGTGAATGGATGGTGTTGGTTGGAGCTGATGGTCCAGTGTGTTCGGCGACTCGCTTCTGTCATCACCGTGTGTGGAATAGGGTTTAATCCCGGGATATGGGATTCCCGGGAAATCTGATGAAAACTATTTCCCGATTCCCGGGAAATGTTATGACGGGAAACGGGAAATGAAAGTTAAAAAAAAAATACAGTGCGCTCCTATTATAGAGCATGTTTATTGTTGTTCAAAGTTCAAACATATTTCATTTACAATCAACATGTCCACAGCTGAGAGGATGGCTCATAAATTGTGTTTTTGACAACAAATATGGGTCTTAATCTTGCTAAACCACGACTTGTAATGAGGCCAGGCTCAGGGTACAGGGCACATGTGAGCCCAGAATTTGGTTACGTCCAATTCTATCAGAAAGCTCCTTTCTTTTTTTCCATCTGCTAAGGGCAGCAACAGGTTTGGCTAACATACATATAACACATTTTAAGATCATATAAAATGCATTTAGGGTAATGTTCTGCTTCCAATGACGATAGGAATGATAAGGAAGAGAGGAGAAGGGTAAGGTAAGGGTAAGGCTGATATTAGAAATTGGATGCGCCCGAGAGCCGGCTGCAGCGAAAACACAGGAGTTTATGGAGGAGACACCCGTTTTGTTTTACGCTTTAAAACTCTCTGGGCTCATTTCCAAATGGGGGATTACATATCTGCACTCAAACTATTATCTGGACTTAAACATGAAACTATTCTGAACTGAAGTGGTCTGTGCTGTTCATTAATAATGACGAATATTCGGTTTCCGGGAGCCACGTGACCAAGATGGCAGCTTAGCCTAGAGGCTCCGATACCATGCTTACATTTTTATGATTAAAAAAACCCTTCAACTTGCCAAAACTTAAAGAACAAACCGTGCGAAGGTAATGTCAAAAGCAACAGCCACAAAAACGTGCGAACTCTTCACCCGTGGACGCAAAGCGAACAAGAAAACGACTAACCTCCAGGATACCACGGAGACTGAAGCTAAGGCTACTGAGGCTACTGAGGATAACACTGATGCTAGCATGGCTAACATCGGAGAGGTGCTATCCGAGATCAAATCTATGCGATCCGACTTCAGGGGAAGGCTCGACTGTATAGATCAAAGTCTGGGCAACATGTCTTCCACCCTCACGGCATTGGAGAATGGACTAACACAGACAAAGCAGGATGTTACGGCAAATACGACTCGCATTGCCGAAGCTGAGGCCCGCATAGCCGCAGCCGAAGCTAAACAAGACGAGGCCGACACAACTCTGCAACTAGCGGGTAAACGCATTGCTTTTCTTGAGACCAAAATAGAAGACCTGGAAAATCGTGGGAGGCGTAAAAACCTCCGTGTGTTTGGAATCTGCGAAGGGATACAGTAGAAGGGGGAAGGCCATTAATCGATTACATGACGGACATGCTACCGAAATGGCTAGGCCTCACTTCCCGTACATTTGTTTTGGAGCGAGTCCACCGCACACTAGCAACGGCAAGACCGGGCCAGAACAGAGCCGTACTGATCCGGTTTTTAAGCTTCCAGGACAAAGAATATGTATACAGAGAAGCAAGAAAGCAACAGCTAACCCACGAGGGGCAGAAGATCACGTTTGCACAGGATTTTTCAGCTGAAACAGCCCGGATCAGAAAGAGTTTCCACCCGCTCATCAAAGACTTCATTGACATTAACGCATTCCGTGGGTTTCAATACAACCCATGCAGGCTCAGAATCCTCCACGGCGGAAAGATCCACCTCTTCTCTGGCCCAAAAGAAGCAGAGGATTTCTACAGACAAGTCAACAAGTGAACTGTCCAGTGAACTGATACGAGTGGTGTCAGTTGATTTGGGACTGACTGAGCGAGTTTGCACTTCCAAATCAGGTGAAATCTGAGAATAATAAATAGCAGCTTTTCCTTTTTCGGTTTTATTACAAACATGGCCTCTGTTCTACTTGAGGTATTTCTGTTTAATCAAAGTTATGTCTAGTCGTTTACGTTCAATATTGACATAGTTAGGTTTTCTAACATTACTATTATTATAACTATGATACAATAATACAAAGTATACTCATAAGGGTTAAAATAACAAAACTAGCATGGTGTTGGGATGCTGGAGTTAGAGAAGGGAGAGAAGGGTTACGTTGGTTAGCTTCTCCTCAACAGTGTGGATCAGCATCCTGGGGAACCCCTTTGTTCAAAGGGGGTGGTCAAGTACTCCACTGGATGGAGTACTGGGGAGGGGAATGGGGATGTTTAAAATAAGTTCTGTGTTCAATAGATGTGTGTGTATGTGTGTGAATGTGTAGACTTGCACTTTAGCAAACAAGGTATCAAAACATGGTTTGACTCCAATACTAGTCACCACAATTCACTGAATGGAAAATAAAAAACAAAACTTTGAAGTTTTTATCACAAGCTGGAATGTCAGGGGTCTACGAAAGCTAACTAAAGTGAAGAAAGTATTGAACAGGATAACATTTTTAAAATCTAATATAATTTTCATACAAGAATCACACCTGACTAATGCAGATATCCAAATACTAAATAAAAGATGGCCAGGCCAAGTGTTTCATGCTTGTTTTACCAGTCATGCCAGGGGAGTTGTGACTTTGATACACAAATCAATACCATTCCAACAATCCAAAGTTATTGCTGACCCAGGAGGGAGATATATTATAGTACAAGGTACTATTCTCTCACAAAAGATAAACCTCATAAATGTGTATGGTCCCAATGATGACTCCCCATCGTTTTTCGAAAATCTCTTTTTAACCATTTCAATGCTGGATGGAGTGTATATAATCGCAGGGGACTTTAACATTACCCCTATTCCCTCTCTCGATCGATCATCTAAAAATGACAGTGCACACTGTAAATCTAGAAAAGTACTTCATAAATATATAAAAGATCTAAGATTGCAAGATATATGGAGATTTAAAAACCCAAATGTTACACAATATTCGTACTTATCAAACAGCACCAAAAGTCACTCACGCATTGACTATTTTCTAACATCCATAGATTTAGATGTGAAGGACTGTTGGTATAACAGTATTGTCTTAAGCGATCACGCACCCGTTTCCATCATATTACAACTAGGAAAAATTGAACGTAGCCCTAAAAGATGGAGACTACAATCCTTTTTACTACAAGATGAAAAGTTTGTTAAATTTATAGAAAAATGAATTGACAGCTATTTTGAGAATAATAAAAATGAAACATCTGCTAGTATTCGATGGGAAGCTTTCAAAGCTTATATTAGGGGTGAAATTATAAGCTTCACAGGGACATTAAATAAAAAATATAAAACAGAGATTCAATCAATGGAGCAACAAATTAAAATTCTAGAAAAGGAATTCTATGGCACTAACGATCCAGGTAAATTAAAAAATATACAAATCTTGAGAGCAAAATATGACAAATTAACAACCGAAAAAGTGGCAAAAAGTTTAATGTGGACAAAACAAGCCTATTACGACCAGGGAGAAAAGCCAAGTAAATTATTGGCCTGGAAGCTTAAAAAAATGCAAGCAGATAGATCCATTCTCAGCATTAAATCTGACCTGGACAATCTGACTTCAGACCCACTAGAAATAAACAAAAGTTTTAGAACATTTTACGAAAAATTATATAAATCAGAATGTATTACAAATGAAACTATTCAAAATGACTTCCTCGATAAGCTACAACTTCCGAAGCTATCGTCAGAGGACCAAGAGGTGATTGATAGACCATTAACAACTACTGATATAATAAAAGCAATTGGAAACTTGACCAGCAACAAGACACCAGGACCAGATGGGATACCAGTGGAGTTTTATAAGAAATTCAAAAACAAACTTGCCCAACCACTTTTAGACATGTTTAAAGAATCATATGAAACTGGCATTCTCCCTGACTCCCTGAGACTTGCAACTATCACTTTGATTTTAAAACCTAATAAGCCACAGGTAGAGTGCTCATCATATAGGGGAATAAGTCTCATGGGATGCGATATTAAAATATTATGCAAAATTCTCTCCAAAAGACTGGAAAAATATGTTCCCAAACTAATATTGGATGACCAGCAGGGTTTTGTTCAACAAAGGCAAGGCTATCATAATATTAGACGTGTATTAAATATATTATATGAAAAACAAAATGCTAGTGATACAGCAATGTTGGCTGTTGATGCATGTCAAGCATTTGATAGAATTGAATGGAACTATCTTTTGAAACTGCTTCCAAGATATGGACTGGGGGAAAAGATAATCAAATGGGTGGAATTATTATATACAAACCCTACAGCACAAGTTTTAACAAATAATAATCTTTCTAAACCCTTCAATTTGCAACGTTCTACAAGACAAGGGTGCCCTCTATCCCCTACTTTGTTCACATTAGCTATGGAACCCTTGGCTATAGCAGTGAGAACACAGGCTGGACTTTAAGGAGTTAACATTAGTGGCAGAGATCATTTGATATCACTATTTGCAGATGACATAATATTTTTTCTAACTGACTTAAAGTACACAGTTCCTAAGTTAACAGACTTACTTGAAGAATTCGGCGAGTTTTCTGGATATAAAATAAATAATAGTAAATCAGTTCTCCTCTTTCTTAACGATGATGATAGGAAATCTCCACCAATAAAAACAAACTTCGAAATAGCCACAGATGGCTTTAAATATTTAGGCGTAAAAATTACCCCTGACATTAATAAAATATCCCTGGCAAATTACAACCCCTTGGTAGAGGAGGTCACAGAAACACTTGGTCGATGGTCGAACTTACCCATTTCCATGCTGGGACGTATAAATGCAATAAAGATGTCAATCCTACCAAAATTTCTATACTATTTCCAAACACTTCCTTTGCCTTTACCTCAATCATTTTTTGACAATTTGAATAAAATCTTTAGTGAATTTATATGGAACAACAGGAAAGCTAGACTTCGTTTCAAGTTACTATACCTTCCTTATGACAGAGGGGGCCTTCAGTTCCCAAATCTTAGATGGTACTATATGGCGGCACAGTTAACTTCAGCCTCTCACTATTTTGGTACAGGCGTTACTCCAGCGTGGATGTCCATTGAAGAACAATCATCCTCGAATTTGTCATTAAAGAGCTATCTATATTCAAATGATTTAAAAAAACTTGAAAAAACAAATTAAGAATCCCTTTCTGAAAAATACTATAATTATGTGGCACAATGCCCATACAGTTGTAAATAATCCCATAACTTTGTCTCGTTTCACACCTCTATGGCGTAATGAACAGTTTATACCTGGCAGAAGGGATGGAGGATTCAAATTATGGAAAACTAAGGGTATTCAGACAATTAACGACTTATATGTAAACGGAAAATTGCTTACTTTTAATGAGCTGTGTGAAAAATATCAAATCCCTAAAAAACATTTTTATAAATACCTTCAATTAAAACATTTCATGTCAACAAAATACAGAGAAATTATGAATATTCCCAATTTATCAACAATTGAAGAAATCGCTATAAAACATCAGAAAAAGAAAGGTTTACTGTCTAAATTCTACACACTGCTCATAGAACACTCTAAAGATTCAACATTGGACAAATTGAATGCCTGGAGGAGCGACCTGCATGAGGATATTTGTGAGGCAGACTGGAACGAAACATGCTTAAGAGCACAAAAACAAACAATAAATACAAGACTCAGATTACTTCAATACAAATGGCTAACAAGGGTTTACATAACTCCTGAAATACTGCATCGTTATTCCAATAACATCCCTGACACCTGTACTAAATGTGGTAGCTATAAGGGAACTCTTGTGCACTGTCTCTGGGAATGTGCAGCAATTCAAAAAATTTGGAAAGAAATTATTCAATGCATGATGGAAATATTCAAAATAAAGATTCCATTGTGTGCTAAATTATGTATTCTAGGAATATATCCTGAAGGTATAATACAAAAAAAGGAAAAAATTAGATTATTGGATTTTGGTTTTCTACATGCCAGAAGAGTCATTGCTCTCAACTGGAAAAATGTTGATGCTCCTTCCCGAGGACAGTGGATTAAGGAACTTTCTGAATGTGTAGGCCTTGAAAGATTGACATATATTGTGAAGGGAAAACAAAAAGACTTTGTCAAATTGTGGGAGCCTTATCTGATGATCATATCTAAAAAATAAGCTTTTCTTTTTTATGTTTTAGTTTCTCTATATCCTGTGCACTACCTGTATTATTTTAATTTAACATTGTAAATATGTACATACAGGTTTCCATACAACAAGCAAATATGTATAGTACATGTATGAAGAATACACATATGTGTGTGTATGTGTGTATGTATGTATGTATATGTGTATGTATGTGTATGTATGTATGTATATATGTGTGTATGTATATATATATATATATATATATATATATATATATATATATATATATGTATGTATATATATATATATATGTATATATATATATATATATATATGTATATATATATATGTATATATATATATATATATATATATGTATATATATATATATGTATATATATATATATATATATATATATATATATATGTATATATATATATTTTTTCTCTTCTCTACTGGTTTTATACTGAATATAGAGGTACGACCTGAAACTACGTACTGCAGGTATGTGTGTGTGTGTGTGTGTGTGTGTGTGTGTGTGTGGTTGTGTGTAACGTATGTGAATATTTCACTATTCTATTCAATGTTGATCTATGTAAATGTAGACAACTATTTGAGCGTTTTTTCTATTTGACTAAAAATCAATAAAAATATTTTGGAAAAAAAAAAAAAATAATGACGAATAT